TGACACACGTTACATTAGTTTCAGGTGTACAACATAGTAATTGGACAAGTCTGTATGTTGCACTACACACCACAAGTGTAGCTACCATCTGTCACCATACATCATTACCATACCGTTACCTGTATTCCCTATGTTATACTTTTGATCTCTGTGACTTCTTCATTCCATAACCGGAAGCCTGGACCTCTCACTCCCCTTCACCCATTTTTGCCCACTCCCCACCCCTTCCCCTCTGACAACTACCAGTTCTCCATATTTATGGGTCTGTTTCTGCTTTTTTTATTTTTTTAGATTCCACTTATAACTGAAATCATGCAGTATTTGTCTCTCTCTGCCTGACTGACTTTGTTTAACATAATACCCTCTAGATTCCATCCATGTTGTCATGAATGGCCAGATTTCATTATTTTTTATGGCTGAGTAATATTCCTCTCTCTCTCTCTCTCTCTCTCTCTCTATATATATATATATATATATATATATATATATATATACACACACACACACACACACACACACACATATATATATTTCACACCTTTATCCATCTATCAGTGGACACTTGGGTTACTTCCATAGTTTATTGTAAATAACGCTACAATAAACATGGTGCATATATTGTTTTGAACTAGTGTTTTCATTTTCTTTGGGTAAATGTCCAGTAGTGCAATTACTGGATTATATGATAGTTCTATTTTAATTTTTTGAGGAATCTCCAAACTGTTTTTTTCAGTGACTGCACCAGTTTGCATTCCCACCAACAGTGCACAAGGCTTCCCTCCCCACCCCACACTCTCCTCAACACTTGTTTCTTGTGTTTTTTAGTTTAGCCATTCTGACAGCTGTGAGGTAACATCTCATGGTGGTTTTGATTTGCAATTCCCTGATGATGAGTGATGTTGAGCATCTTTTCACGTATCTGTTGGCCATCAATGTCTTCTTTGGAAAAATATCAATTCGGGTCCTCTGCCCATAATTGAATTACTGGTTGTTTTTTTTTCCCTCTTTGGTGTTGAGTTGTGTAAGTTATTTATTTTGGATGATAACCCTTTATCAGATATATCATTTGCAAATAACTTCTCCCATTTCATAGGTTGCCTTTTTGTTTTGTCGATTGTTTCCTTTGCTGTGTAAAGACTTTTTAGTTTGGTGTAGTCCCAATAGTTTATTTTTGCTTTTTGTTTCTCTTGCCTGAAGAGACATATTTGAAAAATGTTGCTAAGGCTGATGTCCAAGAGATTACTGCCTATGTTTTCTTCTAGATTTATGGTTTCAGGTCTCACATTTAAGCCTTTAATCCATTTTGAGTTTATTTTTGTGTATGGTGTAAGAAAGTGGTTGTTTCATTTTTTTTTTTTTTTTGCATGTGGCTGTCCACTTTTCCCAGTACCATAGAATAGAATTTTCTAAACGAGTATTTATGCACTTGAGTGACACTTGGTTAGTAAGGTATATTTGTCCTTCAGTTTACCCCAGTCCACCCTCTAGGGATTGAGGACATTCCTTGGCCGGGTGAGGTCAACTGACCAATACTAAAATAAATACGAACCAAATGTCCCAATTCTTACTGATTTTTGGCTTCTACATTTTTTATTATCAATTGATACAAAGGTTTTGTTTTTTTTTTTGTAAGATTTTTCCTGGGGAGAAATGAGTATCTGTACTTCACCTACTTCTTCCATATGCCTTATGCTGTCCTTTCAGTACTGTTTTGCTAGAACAGTTTGCATCCTAGTACAGACAGACTGAATAAAGAAAGATGATACAAGTTTGAAATGAACTTTTGGAGAGAGAACATCTAATGCAGTGTATTTCAGACTGTAGGTCTTGACTCAGGAGAGGTTATGAATCTTTAGTGAAATCACTAGCACTTAAAAATAACCTTTATCACACTTAGTAAGGAAAGCATTTTTTGTGTGTGAAATTTAATTATATACGTGCATACATACATAAATTATATATACACACACAGTCATGTATGTATGTATACATGTGCCAGCTTGCAATATCAAATGTATTTCTTACTAAACGTTAGTTAAAAGGGTTTGTAAAATGTGTCTTAATGATTTTCAGTGAGTTTTGCCTCTGCAATTTAGATCCTTCATCAGGTGTCTCTTCTACATAATCAAATTAAAAAAACAAAAAACCAACCAACCAAACAGGACTTTGTTCTCTTCTTGAGCATCTTCTGAGCACCCACTGCATAAAGATTCTTGGGTAAAGGTTACTACTCTCAAACCTACAACCTCTTCGGGGGAAACAACTGAACAGTACGCAAGTTAGAATAACTGAAATATTAAAAGGTAAAAGTAACATGTTAGGAAGGTAGGGTGATTTACTCTGGCCAGGTTATCAGAAGGCTTTATGCAGCCATTAGGCCCCAAAAGTCAGCAACTGGAGACTGGCAAGTAAGGGTTGAGAAGTATGCTATTTTGAGGACTAGTAAGTAAAAATTTGGCTGGATCACATAGTTGGAAAGATAGTTTTTAGAACACATGCTTTAAAAGCAGTAAATTCTATTTTGCCTTAATACCTTCATGCATTGGCATCCATAAAGCACCTGCTAATTTACTTTAAAACATTTCAGCATGAAAACAAACCCCCCCCCCCCCATATTTCAGCACAGTGTGATAATTCTGTTAAAGTTCTAGAAGCCCTTCTGTCATCCATAGCTCAATAAACAGAGGAGGCTTTGTTAATGTCAAATGTGTTTCCATTGGTGCCATGAATGGCTAGCTAATAATCTAAAATGATGTAGACACAGGTTATTTGTGAATTCAGTACTAGTATTCAAGATATGTGGATTGGCTAAAAACAAATCACTGTTAAATTAACAAGAATGTAATACTCTGTAACTTGTACTTCTGTAGATAGTACCCAAGGCCTGATTGCTAAATGCACCTCCCTCCAGTCATTAGTAGAGAATTCTGGTTGCCTTTTGTTGACCAGAGTGACAGATTTTGCCCCCAGTACTCAAGGCAGATGCCACCATGTGCTACTGCTTGTTAATGTTTAATGTTGGTGACACAAATTGAGTTATGAGCTTTGCTTTCATATTCAGATACTGGATACCATTATCTGCTAGAAAGAGTCTGGGTGGTAAATGACCAAATGGGCTGTCAGTTTGAGAAATAACTAAGGTATCTTGAGTTACTCCCCAATAATATCAATCATCAACACCTATTTAGCAAAGCAAGTTTATTTGATTACTTATTCCAGACAAGCGAGGCTTGTGTGTACAACTAAGAAAGAAGACAATCCAAATAAAAGGCAGGAAATATTAGTATGAACTACACAAATAGCTATCTAGAAAGGAACAGCAGCTGCAGCATTCATTTTACATAATACTGTGGAGTGATGTAGCACCATGTACCTCAAAGATCTCCTAAGTACTTTATAAGGTAATTATGTAAGTCTTTGCTAAAATGCAGCAGTAGCTTAAAAACTGTAGCAAGTCCAATGATAATCTTCTGTTCAACTAACTTCAAATATAAAATTTTATCAGAAAAATCCAGAAAAAATGGGGAATTTGGGAAGGATCTGATCTTGTACAGTTCTTTCAAAAAATCCAAAGGAATTTATTGAGACCTGTTTTCTTCCATCATCTGCACTACTCATCACTACCATCATGACCTAAATTCTAAGCTCTGGGAGATTTAATAGGTAGTTATTTAAACACACACACACATATTATTTTTTAAAACTAAAGTTCTATTTATTGGTCTGTTCAGTCTGTTCTGCTCTGAACCACAAACATGAAGGAACAAGAGAGAACTTTAATGCTACTGAAATCAAAGGATTAGGACCCTTAATGATTCCAATGATCATTCTAAGCTATTCTACTCTGATCAATCTTAGGTTGAAATTTGTTAAAAGTCTGACCCTGTTAATGGATCTAAGTAAACATGAGGACATTCATAAATTCGATAGTAAATATTTTTTTTAAATACTGATTAAGGTTCATCTGCAATATATAAAGAAACTCAAGAGAGAAATTTGGTGTTCCAGATTCCTCCAACAGCCCACTTTACTAGTTAGAGCCATAGTACATTTTTAGAAATGTACCACAGAAAAATCTTACGGAAAAAACCTTGGAGTCTGGGATTATTCAGTCTTGCAAAACTGTGGTTCCTAACAATGCCCCATCACCCCCTTTTTTTTAAAAAGGGTCATGAACCACTTTGAAAAGCTGATGAAATTTGTGAATTCCCCCCTCCCCTGAAAAATGCATATAAATAAAAATTTCTTATATACACTTGCAAAGGATTCTCCCAAAGGCCCATGATCCCCAAGTTACGAATTCCTACTTCAAAGCTGAGGAACACAGAATAAGGTTAGCCCATGTGGACACTGTCCATCTTCACTTTATTGCTACTGTAGTCAAGTACTGACTGTTGTAGTCAGGATTGTTGCCTTAAGACACCCATTGTAAGCACCAATGGTCTTAAAATCCATTCTGCTGCCCCAATTTTACAAGGTTTTAAGCCAGGTACCCCCTCAAATGAGTTAAGCCCCTCAGATTTAAGCTAGCAATTATTTTCCTTTGATATACACTATTCTTCAGAGCCAGTCCTGAACACTGAGATTAAAATTTAATACCCTTATGAAAATGAACGTATGTCTACATATTGGAGGTTATTTGACTTTATAAAATATATTTCTAGGTATAGTTTCAAACTCGAAGTAACATTTCATTTAGTGCCTCTGAACATAACATACGATCCCAGACCATAACTTCCCCTTTTACTTACTTGGAACCAATACAATGGAGCTCTCCTACTAGTCACAAAATGTACTGAAAGTTCTACCTACTGTTTAGGATAGGAAACACTTCATTTCTGATCAAACCTGCCATCTCAAAAGCATCTCATCAACTCCCCAGTTACCAAACAGGTTGAAGAATGAGATCCTCGAGGTGTCTAACACTGAACCATTTGGCTATGTCTCAACCCCATGCTGAATGGACCTTTAAAACAAGAGAAAATGACTATACTGGTGGACAGGGTTAAGCCTGTAGCTTTCTTTTATTAAAAACTCCACTAGTCATTCCAAAGAATCTGTTTAAAAAGGAGGGTAAACATGAGAATTCTTAGAGACCCTGAAGACTGATAATCGAAGGGGAAAATAGGTTATTAAACACAGAAATGCAAACATATCACATATATAAAATTTACTCAAATCTTAAGAATTTTTCAAAGTCTGAAGTCAGGTGACAGTTATTTAGTCCTTTCATAATCATTTACTTTTGCTTGAAGAGTATTTATAGAACAAGTCTTGGAATATCTGAATAAAGGAAAAGAGCCAAAAGAGCTTTCCAACCGAGCTACAACTTGGGTTTATAGGATTTCATTCTTGTTTTTTGCCATGTAAAAAGTGAATAATGGGACAATCATTACTTTTTCCTTGCTCTTCTAAGTTTTCCTTTGTAAGAGTTAAATGCTAGAATTTCCATTTCGGAAACCTAGGGATCAGGGAACAGGCATGGGTGAAGGATACTGCTCTCTGACAGAATTCCAAGCATTTCAACTTGGTGGTAAGGGGCTCGCAAGAGAGTATGGACTGTTATTCCTTGGGCTAAATGAGTCCCAATGAGTCCTATAAAATATACAACCAAGTATTTTCCCTGCACTATTCAAATGTACCATTTTGTGTTTTTCCTACCAGAACCTACTAAATTGCTGAGTGAAAAGCTGAAGAAGGTAATAAATACTAGCACTCCTGGCTGTCCAATCTATACATTTTCATCTTAAGAATAATTCAAGCATAATCCACATTTAAAAAATTAGACTAAAGAGAGACAGTAAAGGTTTTAAAGTTTTCTCTTTGAAAAGATGGTATCTTACAGTACATACAAAAATACTCTGAAAATACATACGACTTCATTTACAAAACACTGAATCAACATATTACAAGAATTACATGGTTATGGATTTTAATAAACTGAGCATGCATTCATGAAACTTAAAAAATATTAAGAAATGCATTGAAAAAAGCAGTGTAAAAAAAGACAACTCATATAGTTAAATAAAAGTTACAAAGGTCCTGAGCCAATTAATGGTTGGTAACAATGTCATTCAAAAATGCCTTTAGGTTTCAGTAAAATCCACTGCTTATTTCTGCATGCCTAGTCCATGAACTGTTTGAAGTTGTGGGGTAAGTAATGGCCAAGAATTACCATGCCAAGTTAATTTTACACCTCAAAAATACAAGTTTGCCATACTTCAAGGTATCTTATTGTTGGTGCTGGAATGAATTGCTCCTCAGTAAAAAATACCAGTCAACTAACAAGAATGGCATGAGCTAGGATATGTAACAATTTCACCATTCACATACTGACTTTCAGTATCTTGGTTATATTTTGATTCTTAATAAAGATGCATTTCAAAGGCCTCCATGGGAGGCAAAATATAGAGAATTTATGGTGCCCAACTCTTATGTAATCACTGGACTAATCCTCCCTGGTAACTATGCAACATTTGGACAGAAAGGCACAAAAAAATAAAAATTTAAATATTCCATGTGCCATTCTGGAAAAAAATAATTTAAAACAACAGAATAGACAATAAGTACATCTACACAAATGAGGAAAGCAGAAAAGATACCTCACATTCATTTATCTCAGGTTTCACAAAGTGGCTTCAATGCTAAAGTAAATGTGTTAACATTTGAAAAATTACAAGACAATTTTTTTTGTGTGTTTTCAACTTTTTCAGTTCTATACAATGATTATAACATAAGACTTAAAAAAAAAAAAGTTCAGGACTTGTTTTATCCGTGTCCAAAGAGCCAAGAACTGGTTCCCACAACAGAGAAACAAGCATCGAAAGTTAAGGCAGTAAAACCTCCAACGCAAAGCCGTTAATACTGCAGATGACAATTTGATAGCAGGTGATCCTCACAGACGTGTACGTAGCAATCAATGAGAGAATGCTACGGCATCTGCAGGTCAAAGTGTGAGAGTTCAAAAACCACTTCAAGGTCGTTAGTCCGATGACTGAAACTTTCACCTCATCTTATGTACGACAGCCACTTCTATTTTAAAGAGTGGCTGCATCTACGCCACTAAATGATTGCATATTCACTTAAGTAAGGAGGCACTGCTTTTACCGATTAAGGGTCAGTCGAATGGAATTTTTGATGACTCGGATGTTATTTGCTGGAACTGGAGATGATGAATCTGGTAGTTCTTTACTGGGTAGTCTCTATTAAAAAGGAGTAGAAACAAAGAAGGAAAAGCAAATATATATTATCAAGTCCCAACTAGTAAATCAGTCACAAACTGAGTTTTCCTCCAAATCCCTTAAGCTCTTAGACACTCACATGTGTTAGATATTTTCTTCCAATGTTCACAGACATTTCCTTCTTTTGGGGACTTTTTTATACAGTTGGAGGTGAGAAGCAGAGGTACAGGGAAAAGGTCCAAGTGGGAGAAGTGTATGTATAGGAAAAAGGACTTTGTTAAATTACTTGCCACTTCTGGATTGAGAAATGCAAAAGAACATAGTCCTCCTCAAAGGCAATGGTAAAAAGAAGTAGGAAGAGCAGGGTCACTAAGCAGGAAACTCTTGGAGTGCTAAGTGAAAAATGGATGTGGTACAGAGGAAAACTGGATGTCCATTTAGTTTCTGTAATACATTCATGGAGAAGAACACTGTAAACCCCACTTGTGAGATACTTTTTTCAGGAAAACTGACTTTGTACCCAGACCAGTTTTTTTCAGTGATGGTGAAATTCAGGGGTGTCTAGATGAGGGTTTCTGAGGATACTAAAGAGGACTCTATAGTGAAGGCAAATGCTGAGCTCTAAACTACAGACAGGTGTGTGATGGCAGCAGTGTGCAGAGTTAATTACCCTCCCGTGTTACCTTAGCTAAACCTGTATCCTACCCACGGCCATTCAAAACACATGAAAAATTTCAGACACATAAAAGTAGAGAATAGGACAATGAAGACTTCAGTGCCACAACCAAGACATTATTAAAATTTTGCTACATTTGTTAGGTTTATATTCTTGTCCTTTATACTTGAAATATTTTAAAGCCAGACCCAGGCATGTCATTTCATGCTTTTGTACTTAATATCCATATCAAACTTTTTTCTTCCATTATCATTTATAGTTTATACACCCATATTTTTTGTAAACCACTCTTTATGTTAAAAGAAATTTTATGACTTCTAGAACTAATAGAAAGTATGATACTTTCTATTTGTTTTTAAAATGGCCAGTACATTGTGAGGAACCTGGCAGTGTGACAGCTGATTGTGACAAGTACTTTATTCTTTAACAGGGGGTTAAAACAAGCCATGTAAACTCTCAGAGAAGGGCTGTCTTTGATATATATATACACAAGGCTGATTTTTGAGCACCTGCTTATTAACTTCCCATGCTTAATAATACCATATTATTAGTTTCAGTGATAATTCTTTGAAAAATAAATTTTTAAATTGAGATTTAGGGGCTCTTTAGCTCATGTTTTAAAGGTCTTACTATGAATACCGAAACATTTGGCTCTTCCAAAATATTAATAAGTACTAAGCCTAAGTTTTGATAGTAAGCAGTGGTGTACAACAAAAAGAGACTATCAAGTGTTGGTAAGAAATTACTGTGCTGAGCACTAAATTTCTTTAAAAATAAACAAAGGCTGAACATAATCTGAATAAGTAGTGAAGTCTTAAACTACTTCCTCTTTTCCTCCCTTCTGAGGTACATATATTTAATGACCAGACACTGCTATTTCTACCCCAACTCCCAACTGTATTGCTGGTCTTTGAGGACAGGGACAAAATCTTATCATCCTGTTCTTTCACTCAGTGCAAGGATCTTACACTTTTTGTACCTGTAAATCACCTATGAATGACTTTGTTACCTTCTTGCGTGATGTATCAATAGTTGGAATAGGCATACATTCTCCTCCAATGGCATCCTAAAAACAGAATTATACACAAATGAAAACTTTCTTTCCTTTGTACGCTTATTTCGACACAAAATAAAACACAACCCAGGGCGCCTGGGTGGCTCAGTTGGTTGGGCGACTGCCTTCGGCTCAGGTCATGATCCTGGAGGCCCGGGATCGAGTCCCGCATCGGGCTCCCTGCTCAGCAGGGAGTCTGCTTCTCCCTCTGACCCTCTTCCCTCTCGTGCTCTCTATCTCTCATTCTCTCTCAAATAAATAAAATCTTTAAAAAAAAAAAAAAAAACCACACAACCCAAACTTCACAGACCTATCTAATCTGATCCACTTTCAAATATAGTACTTTTCCTGATACATGGCTCTTTGAAAGCAATATTTTGAGGCACACTATTAATATATTTACCATTGCTTTTCTTTTTCTGTCTTCAGGAGCACGTGATTCCTTAAATGTTGATTCAAGTCGAATAAACTAGAATATAAACATTAAAATGAATTGTTATTATTACCTATAAAAACCATACAATCTATATAAGCTTAGAAACTAGTGATAAGGCTTTCATCAAAACTACTGCAAACATGGGTTGGTGAGGGAAAAGAATTTAGACTAAATTCAGCTGCCACCATTAACTTCTACAATTGGAGTGATCTTTTTGGTTAAATCAATTCAGATGATAACAAAGTAGTCTTACCACCACCTACTGGAGGCAGAAGACATCAACATTATAACACATAATAAATATGATTAGTTACCAATAATGACTTCTGTAAGTCAAGGAGAAACTTAGACCAATCATTCAAGTTTTCAGATCTGTTACTGATTTGAATTTAGGATGAACAATCAGTATTATTCCTTCAGGGTTTGGGCAAATTTTCTTTTTAAACAGTCAAATCCTAAAGGAGCACTAAGACAGCTATGCAGAATTGTTAATTTCTTTAGTGCTAGTTTAACTTAAAAAAAAAAAAAAAAGAACTACAGAATTACCACTAAGGTTGTAGCTTTACCTTTTCTATGTCTTTCAACCTCTTAGAAGACCCATCTATGGATGGGGAATGGGATCTCTTGTGTGTAACATTCTTAGCTGACATTCCATTAAGATGTGGTTGTCCCTGGGCAGGGTTGTGTGGTGTTGGGATTCTAGGAATGACATTTCGTCCTACTACAGTAGGAATGGTGCACACAGCTGGGGGTGATACAGCTTTTACTGCAGAATCAACTTCTGAAAAGGAAAGAAAAATTCTAGTAATTAAATGTATACGTAGTAAAATCATTACTAACAAAAGTGCAGATACCTACTTGCACCAATGACTGGGATAGATAGTCCTTGTGCTGGTGGGACACTCAGTGGCTTTTCTACAATGACAGCAGCAGGCTCAGCATTATTCCTATTAAAAGTTTTGAATTATCATTAGTAATTTGTGTTACTTATTTAAAAACACTCTTAACATTCAGGATTATTTCTTTCAAGTGCTCCTACTTTTAACGTTTCATTGAAGGAAGAGAAAAGGGGAAGAACGGTAGAGGACTGAGTAAAAAGTGAGAAAAGAGAAAGCCTGTGCATTTCTGTGTACTGATCTAATCCTACATCTTCATAAGCCTATCCCATGTCCCACAGGATTATAACAAATTGTCAAGTATTTCAAATGACTAGCAAATGGTAAAATAAAATATATTAATAATTAAGCTAAGGTACAGAAAAGTTTACATCATCCCCAAACTGAAGAATGAAAAGAAAATTCTGAAATACAGACCTTTCTATTTCTCCTGAAGGAGGAATGTCCGGCTTGGAAGGTTTGTTTGTAGACACTGGGGAATTAAAAGGTGTTCCATTATCAGTGTCCCTGGAGCTATCCAAACAATTGCTATCTAGAGATGATCTTTTGGACTGTGGTCCACTTGAACTTCGACTAACATCAGAAAGACTTTGCTGAAAGAGGGGGAAAGCAGTTAGGATTTCAAAAAGCAAATGAAAATAATTACTGGTTTCAATTCTGAAGTACATAAAATAAATTATCTTTTGTGATTAATGAAGGGGAGATTTTAGTTCTAGATTGAATTGTATCTTTCTTTCCTTTTTACTCAATAGGTTTGGGAGCTGTTAAAAGTGCAAATCTGGTCCCAGGATCCTGCGTCTGAATGGAACCATACACTGGAGAGTTAAGATTATAAACTCACCTTTTTCTTCTTCTGAAGAATCTCTGCTGGAAGGTAGTGATGAAGTTGCTTTTTTTTAACATGAGTTGCTTCAATTTTCATTCCTTCCTTTAGCATGTTTATATTATTTGCCTGTCTGTACACTGTAACAATGTTAATATGTTAAATGGGCAACTTCTTCCTGAACTGGGAGGTCTGTTTTCTTTCTCTAAAATGCATACATTTGGTATCTCCCCAAAATCTCACAAACACATACACCAACCCTGCTTATAGAACAACTATTTCTCAAACATTTTCACCATGTCACAATCCTATTTAAGTAACATTTAGGGGTGCCTGGATGGCTCAGTTGGTTAAGCATCCGACTCTTGGTTTCAGCTCGGGTCATGATCTCAGGGTCATGAGATCAAGCCCGTGTCAGGTGTGGAGCCTGCTTAAGATTCTCTCTCCCTACCCCCTCCCTGCTAGTGTGCATATGCATGCGAGCGAGCTCGCTCTCTAGAGAAATAAAATCTTAAAAAAATAAGTACCAACTAGTTTTCTCATATCCAACTTCTAAGATTTTCTAATAATTCAATCTCATTAACAAAATAAATGCATGAAAAAAGTTTTTTCCAAATCCTGTTTTCTGTTATTTTCCCAAAAGGCAATCTTTCTCATAATTACTTACCCAAGTCTAAACTAATCCTTATACTAAATATCCAAGATGCAATTTGAGCTCTTCTCCACGAAGCTTCTTTTACTACACTAATCATAGAATGTCAGACCATTAGGAACTATCTAGAAATACTTCCTTACTGTACAGGTGGGGAAATGATGCACAACAGCCCCGAACAACTTGCTGAGATTGAAATACACACAGCCCTAGAGTCCCTACTAGTGCTTTTCACATCTTGTAAGAAAGTTTTATTAACACACAAATTATTTAATGTTCAACTGTGAATACCAAATTAGATTAAAAGCTTATGAAGACACAGATAAGAAGCTTCTTTTGCCCAGTAACTACTGTGACATGTGGTAAATTATCTAATCTCTTGGGGGTCTCAGTATCTTTATCTAGAGAAGAATATTCTATAAATCTATAATAGAGCTTCCCAACCTCCTGCTTTTGGAAAAATGAGCCCAAATTAGAATGGAAAAATTTATGTTTTCATTCCAGATTGCTTATAGAAGCATCACCAGGAGTACTTGTTCAACTTGCAGATTCTCTGGCTCCTCTCCCAGAGTGGGGGATTCACTGGTGCTGACGTGATGTACAGGAATCTGCATTTTCATGATAAATGTGAAAGCTAGTTTAGAAGAATTTAGAAAACTCAGAAGAGCCAAGCCAAAAATATTAATAGTATGAATATACACTATTCCAGATTAAGACAACTCCAAATTTATAAGAGATACATTAAGATATTCCAGAAAGGTGTCATTAGGGAGCTAGATGTGAAAGACACTCTTTCACTGATTCTGAAACGTAACCAGCAAGCTGTACTGTTAGTACATGTAAAAAAATGTAAGAGCCAAGTCATCTTTATGATTGTGCTATCTGTGCACGATGAAAATAAAAATCACCTGTATAGGTTTCTTTATTCGTCTATTTTAAAATAATATCATCATTTGGTACAAAACTCAAAACAGTTGAAGGGCACTGAGTGAAGTCTCCTCGCCCCATCCCCTAGACACACCTGGTTCCTTGACCTAAGAGCAACCAGTTCTGCCAGCTTCTTTTTTTAAAACTATATAGCCTTCCAAAGAATGTATTTATAAGCAAACATGCACACATATATATGTATTTTTTTACTTATTTATAGAAATGGTAGTGCACTATACATACTGTTCTGCAACTTTCCCTCCACTTAATGTCTTAGAGATGGTTTCACCATGCCTTTACTTTTTTAAATAGCAGCATAGGTTTTCATAATATGAATGTACCATATTCATTTAACCAACTGAAAAATAGAGCCAGCCAGATCCATGGCAGATGATACCATGTTACAGCCGAGGTTGAGAACCACTGGCTCCATGATGACGAAGTCTTACCTGTGTCAGTAAACGACTGTATGTCATAGGTCAAGTCTATGTTAACACTTTCTGCATTTTCTACTCTCCGAAAAATTATTCCAAGGAACCACATTGATACGTAATTGTTGCTATAAAATAAAAATTTTAAGTTTCCATTAACTTTTTTTACAATTTTACAGATATCATTTGGTAGTTCAAACTTGGCTTCTATGAAAGCATAAATACAAACTGCAATGGTTTGGCTAAATTCTTAAAACTGACAAGAGCACTGATCAGTTATCATGTGTTGTTACAAAGAGGATTAAATGGCTTTGTGAACAACCTACTAAAAATCTACTTAAAAGATGCTCCAAATTTTGTGATGGAGTTTCTGCTGGGCTCTGTGGGCTACCAACACAGTATGTACTAGTTTTAATGCATGACCGCTCATGCTCAAATAATCTTAAACAATGCATACTGTCAAATAACATTATTTAAGAAATATAATATTCATCAATAATTAACTTACTCTTTATGATGTTCCTTATTTCCTGGGAATGACTGGGGATTTACATGGGCAAGAGTAATAAATTCATTTCGTTCCAAGTTTCCAACAAGCACACGAATTTTAGATTCTACTAATCCAACCCTGAAATAGAACAGTGAACAAAATTTTTCCATATTAAATTTGGAAACTACATCTAAGTAACCCAAAAGGCATATTAGGTATGATGCCTTACATGTTCATTTAAAATATTTAGTCCAATATATTAGTGACTGTTTAAAATACCATTTAAGTAAATGACAAGTTACTTAAGTCAATTTCTGTTTCCTCCTTCCCCTCATTTAAAAGAACTGCTCTATTTAGTGAATTCCTGATCTAAACTCTCCTGCCTATTAAGACCATAAAATAGTCATGATTTGAGCATGAACAAAAACTGTTGGTTAATTGGGTTCTTTCATTTTCAAATCTTATGTCTATACGCTAAGGCTAAGATATGTTTAAATAACGTGGGGAAAAAAAAGCACTAATATCTAGCACCTAATTCATAATAAACATGCTCATATTTTCATAAAATTGGTACTAGATATTGCATTTAAAAAAGTTTCAGTAAATTCAGATCAGATACGACTAAAACATGAAAGTTTCATCAGGTTTCTGCAACTCTGTTTTCTAAGAAATGTGACTACTGTCAGCTATTTTATTAACTTACAATGATTTCATTAATTAGAATAACTACAAGGACATTTTTACATTATTCAAACACTTGAAAACGCTTACATATTATAATTGTGTGTGCTTCAACAGCACATATATGGAACACCGAGTTACTGCTCAGTGTTATCTAAATGAGAAGTTGGCAAACTTTTTCTATCAAGAGCCAGACAGTAAATATTTTAGGCTTTGTGGGCCAGTTTCTGTTGCAACTATTCAACTCCGCCATATAGCAGGAAAGAGGCCAGACAATATATAAATGAGTGAGCATGACTGTATTTCAAGAAAACTTTTATTTAAAAATTTTTTAGTTTTTTTTTTAGTAATCTCTATACCTAACGTGGGGCTCAAACTCACAACCCCAAGATCAAGAGTCACACGCTTGTTGGACTGAGCCAGCCAGGTGTCCCCTCAATAAAACTTTATTTTTAAAAACATGTGGCAAACTTAGATTTGGCCCAGACCATAGTTTCCCGATTTCCAATCTAGACAAATGAAATATTCTTTTTTTAAGATTTTATTCATTGAGAGCGAAAGAGAGTGAGAGCACCCATGTGTCAGTGGGGGAGAAAGAGAGGAAGAGGGAATAAGCAGACTCCACACTGAGCATGGAGCCCCCCCCAATGAGGGGCTTGATCCCAGGACTCTGAGATCATGACCTGAGCCAAAACCAAGAGTCAGATGCTTAACCAACTAAGCCACCCCAGGTGCCCCTACAAATGAAATATTCTGTTTTAGTGACAGGATTTTTTTCAGTGTCTCTTTAATTATCAATAAAATAATAAGCACTAAATTTTGGAAGTGAAAATAAGACAGTATTGTGTTTTCCCTTTCTGGAGGTCAGACCTGAGGAAAGCACAACCATTTCTGGTGGCCTAACAGCTTCTGCCTGATAGTTAGGGACATCAGTACACTGGAGGCAGAGGCAATGAATTTGGATTTACTATAAAGAATGCACTGCTCCTTGACCAAAAAGACCTCTCTTATCTGCTGACAGAAGCTTTTATGCCACTACTCTCCTAAATTAAAAGAATATAAAAAATGTCTTTTCCTTCTAGTTTTGATGGGGAAACATGATGGCAAGGATGGAAAATTCTGTAAGAGGCTAGGTATCAGAATCATTCAAAATGCCTCACAATTTTGTGTAAATCTGAGAAGTGGCAAAAGGCAAAGAATATACATATACCCTTATTTTATGTTACTTCTAAATCTGAACCATTAATTTGACAGCATTTCTTAAACACTGATGCTGCACTGTCATGTACAACAGTCACCAATATTATTTAATAATTTTAAGGATAAAATGTTTTATAAATGGCAAAGCATCATAAAAATCTTATCACCACAAAGTAAGTACGCAACTTGAATATTAGTCTTACCACTCTAGATGGTTTTCTTCTGTTGATGCACTGGCAGTCAATACTATATAATGTCTATGAAGAATTTTTAGCAACAATGGCGGGGGGGGGGAAAAAGCCAGAAACACTGTTAGGGTCTGCTTTTCCAACATTACTTTTTCTTTCTTTCTCTTACTAAACAAAAGAACCAATGCAGACACACAGCTTATGAAAATTAGAACATGCTCTGATTTTTCACAAAATTAATTCTAGACCCTACAATTAAAAACAATTCACTAAAAACAAAAACCACTAATACTGGGTTAGATACTACTAGAATACACAAACTCATCATTTAGGATTTCTGCTAACCTATTCTCTACCTCACTTGAAATATAAGTGACAACAGTCACCCATCATATATTAACTTTGTAAGTTTAACATTCTTCTTTAAATACACACACACACAAAAAATGCAAAATTTCAAATACCTATACTTTTGAAAAAAATTTGGTGGCTCAAGTAGTTTGGACCAGTCTGATTTCCCTTGAAGGATTTCATCTGTGACTGCAAGACCTAAATTAAAAACAAGAGAGAGACTGATTTTGAAAACTGGCTATTTTGTTAAAGCTCCTGTATCACTCTACCCCCAAACCTCTAACCTTACCAAACTCTTGAGTAAAAATAAATAAATAAATAAATAAATAAATTTATTTCTAAGAACACAAAAATCAATTTCAAACAGACTGGGCTGACTCCATTTTGGACTTAATATTATATTTTGGAAAACCAATTACTGAAAGAATACATACATATTTGAAAGAATTTTTAGAAATAATAGGCATAACTGCACTTTAGAATACTGTTGTAAATCAAAAATTCGTGGGAAAGGGCCAACATGTTTACCTTGTTTAAATTCTTCTACCATTACTGTTCGAGTTGAGGTGGACACATTATACGTAGAATTCTGCTGTGGGTAGGCAGGGGTGATTATGGGCATGAGATGATACCTATCTGATGGATTTACCTGTGAAATTAGAAGCAGAATAATTGATCTATTCTCCTATTTCAGTTGTCCTCACTTCATTTCCCCAAAAGTCTGAAGAATATGAAATATAAATTTAATACTACATTTCCTCAATTCTAAGAAGTACATTTTCTCTCCCCAGCTACACTTATTTCTGAAGTCAGATATGTCTGATATTCAAAGGCAACTCTGTAGAAGTTTCTTTTTCCTCTGAAAAGCTGTTAAACTGATGGTGCATCTTATAAACAATGGTCTTTTAGAACCAGGAAAATACAGTATCATAGCTGCAAAAAGCATCATTAATCCAATGGTTCTTAATCCTTTCTGCATCTGCTCAATGGGTAACTTCCCACAGGTAACTCAGAGGAATAAGCACTCACTCTAAAAGCAAATTAAAATGCAAGGTGAGAGTTATGCTAGCTTAGAACCACGAGTCTGCTCTAAATTGCTCTGCAAAGTAAATCTTTTATATACTTCAGCACTTTATTAGTAATAACTAAGTACTTATAAGACAGTTTTTAACAATGGATTCTGACATTTTGGTTGATATACCCATTCATCTATTCTTATATGGGTGATTTTTAATGACATAACATTTGGATCAGAATTTGAGATACAAATCATCTGCACCAAAAAACACAGCAGGTAGAAGGAAAGAACTATAGCTATACGAAGGAAGATGAGCAGGAATAAGAATTATTTTTAGATTACAGTTTAGAGAATTGTCCTTTTCCTAAAAGGTTTAATTTCAATAATAAGTCACATACCCGAGGATCCCAAACAGGCAAATTCAAATTGCTTTCTTCTGGTTGCTTCAGCAGCACAGGATTTGGCCACTCCCTAACATGAATAAGGCAAATTAATTCACATAGGACCTCACTGCGGAAACTATATGGAATGTAAAATCATCAGACTCTCTTTTCAATTTTCATAGAGCAAACATTGTGGATGGGTATTTGGTATTGAAAAAAACAAATGCACAAGGGAAGGAAGTATACAAAAGAAAAAGCTGCTTATTTTAAATGTGTCTTCTGAAAGGGAAAATACTGTTTAGCCTGTTAAGCTGTAGCTAATTTAAATCTGAATTTTCCAGGGGCACCTCAGTGCCTCAGCCAGTTAAATGTCTGACTCTTGTTTTCAGCTCAGGTCATGATCTCAGGATCATGGGACTGAGCCCAGCATTGGGCTCTGCACTGGGCATGGAGCCTGCTTAAGATTTTCTCTCTCTCTCCCTCTGCCTAGCCCCCACTCTCTAAAATAGATAGATAAATCTTAAAAAAAAAAATTGAGCTTTCCCCTTCTATTTGCTTTCATGGATTTATCTCTGATAATTTAATAGCAGCAAGAGCTAACTTTACTGAAAATACTAATAAATCCATATAGTAGCTATGATTATCACCTCCATTTTACATATGAGACATTAATCTATATGTAGCTAGTAATCAGAGCCAAATCTACTGCGACCACTCTCAAGCTAAAAGCCTACATTTACAGACCCCTCCCAAACCCAGAAGAAAGCGCCATCTGGTGTCTCATCATTGTCTCAAATTTGATGTCCTTAAACTTTTAAAAGGAATGTTAAGACAACAGAAAAAGTCTGTGTGTATCTCTTAAATTGCTAAACAAACTTACATAAAGGCAGAAGTTAGTAAATAGTTAAAGTATGCATATGAATACTTACCATTTGGAAAAAACTAAAAAGAACTTATGAACTAAAGTAGAAGCTGCTGCATTTGGATATAATTGGCAAGTTCTTGCAACTAGCATTGCCCAGGAGACACCACCAAGGAATCCCAGCATGTTGGAATAAATACCACGTCCTAGAAAATTAATGTATTTGTTCATTATTGTTAGGATCTACTATCCATGACATTCAACTATAAGGAACAGGATAACTTAGTTCCTAAGACTGTTGCTTAGTTAACTTTTCCCCTCTGGAAATAACACTATACAATCAATAAGCATCCCTTCATGCTAGGTCCACAGTTTTATTAGTAAACCATAAACTGCATCTTATCCCCCAACTTCGCCAAAACAGACACCTCAGTTCCCTGCCTCAGTTCTGACTGCCCAACTGGGCTCTACTGATATAAACTGGAATTTCCCCCTTTTCAATAGCTATGGTTGAGAAGGAAATGAAAGGAAAGAGAAAAGGTATCTGGAGGGTCTACAAGTAGGAAGACTAAACATTTCATTAGTAATCATACTCATGGGCATTTTAAAATCAAGTGTAAAGCTGGACTAACTTCAGTATTTTGCAGAATTTGGATACCTCTTCATAAGGTAAAATACACCATTGATACTCATTTCCTTAAATTGTTTCTTACAGCAATCTATAAAAAAGTATTACCATATTTCATCAAACCTATTAGATCCTCAATTACATAATACAGCATTACTTTGTGTCCCACTAAGCAAGCAAGAAAAAAAGATACAAAATGTCAATTTCAGATATGTTCAATGTGTAAAATATGCATCTAAGAATTGACAAGACATGGTATTTAATTCAATCTGTAAGGAAAGAAAAATTGATATCCCTTTCTTGCAAATTACTTTATCCTGACTATACAAGGTAACTGAACCCAAGGACAAATCCTACTTGCCTAATATCTTTTTAGATGTGTACTTCCAATATGGTAGCCACAAGTCACATGTAGCTTTTTCTTTGGTAACAGCTTTATGGAGATACCATTCATACAGCATAGGATTCATCCATGTAAAAGGTTAAAAATTCATGGCTTTTAGTATATTCATCGAGTTGTGTAACCACCACCATAATCAATTCTGGAACACTTTCATCACCCCAAAGAGAAAGCTTTAACGTCACTCCCCTCTTACTTGTTCCCAATCCTCCCAGACCTAGGCAAGCACTAGTCTTCTATCTTTTATAGATTTGCCTGTGTTGGACATTTCATATAAATAGAATTTACTTCAGTCCTTTTTATTGCCAAGTAATATTCCATATTATGGATGTATCATCAGTTTATGAACATAAGGTTGTCTCTACTTTTTGACGATTATGAGAATGCTATGAGTATCTGTGCACAATTTTTTTCTGAAGATGTATTTATTTGAGAGAGATAGTGTCTGAGAGTGGGGGTGGGGCAGAGGGAGAGAAGCAGACTTCCCCTGAGTGTGGAGCCCAAAGCAGGGCTTGATTCCAGGACCCAGACATCATGACCTGAGCCAAATCAAGAGTCAGATGCTTAACTTTCTGAGATACCCAGGCACCCTGTGTACAAATTTCTGTGTGGACATATGCTTTTACTTCTCTGAGATACTGTTTAATTTTAAATTGTAATTTAATTTTAAAATTCAGTTCCTTGGTTGCACATTTCAAGTGCTCAATAGTCACATGGTTACTTTTTGGATAGCACAGATATGAAGTATTTCCATCATCACAAAAAGTTTTATTGGAGAGTATGGTTTTAGACTATGTAAAACCTGGTGCCAGGAGTATAGCACTACTTAAATGTAGTTACAAATAATAGAAAATGAGCTGTGCCAGCTCAGGATTGGGCCTTTTATGAACCATATGCTATGTATATATATTAGTTCCAGGCTTTATTAGAAAAGTGTCATAACATAAAAATAAAAAAGTTGAAACTATCACTGTAGGTTCTTCATTTAATAAATTTACCGAATACCTACTACAAACTACATGCTGCTGGTAATGGGGAGACAAAGATGAATAAGATGGTCCTGCCCACAGAGAACGTGAAGAACAAGGAGGGTTTCGGGCGCCTGGGTGGCTCAGTTGGTTAAGCGACTGCCTTCGGCTCAGGTCATGATCCTGGAGTCCCAGGATCGAGTCCCACATCGGGCTTCCTGCTCGGCAGGGAGTCTGCTTCTCCCTCTGACCCTCTTCCCTTCGTGCTATCTCTCATTCTCTCTCTCTCTCAAATAAATAAATAAAATCTTAAAAAAAAAAAAAAAAAGAACAAGGAGGGTTTCATTCTTCCAGTTCTAACTCATTCTGACTGCTTGGCTAAAACCTGAGATGGGAAGTCAGGAGGTTTTAGTTTTCAACCAAGGAACAAGGAGGTAGAGTCACACGTAAGAGCACCATAACCACTGTACCTGAAAAAGAAACAGGATTCTCCAAAATCTACTGGACCTCAATCCCCAAGAGAATTAATAGGCTCAGGAGTTTCCATATGTGCTCCTATCATTAGCAACTGAAAATTGTAATTTTATAATGCAAGCTTAAAAGATGTGGGATACTTACGTTTTGCCCATAATTTGACTGCTCTTAGCGTGAGTCTAAAAGTTTCTTTATTTGGCACTAAATGCAAAATTTCATCAGTAACTCTACAACCTGAAAAAGATAAAGCATTCATTTTTCATTATGCAACAAAATCTAGTTAATTCAGACACCCTTCTAATTTCCAGACTCTCAAATGCTAAAACTATCAAAGATAATAAAATGTGGGCCATTTTCTCTATGTATTTGAAATTTAGCACATAGATGAGAAATTACTTTGCTTTTAAAGAATTAAAAAGTGCATGGGTAATGTGATTCAATATTAAAATAAGAGATGGATCTGAGTATCTTTAGCTTTCTTCACCATTTATCTTTACTGTTAATCAAATGTCCCCAACTTATAAAACTGTTATTGCTTTAACATACACCTTATTTCACAAATACTGGGATTTACTGTTGTACTCTGAAAGTACAATAAAAATGAAATGATAAAACAAAAGATGCTATAAGCCAGTGTTTTGTTCTCAAAGTGCAGTCTTGGACCCTTGGGAATGCTAGGTTAACCTATTTTTTTTTTTTAAGTTTGTCAAACCTATTTTTATAATAACAATAAAACTTTGCCTCTTTACTGTGTTAACATTTGCACTAATGGTGCAAAAGCAGTGGTGGGTAAAAACTGCTAGTACCAAAGCTTTAACAACAAATTGTACTATTAAACAATTACCTTCACCACCACACATTTGAAGTTAGAAAACAGGAAAGGAGCCCATCCAATGTTTGAGCAAGTTTAAAGAAAGCTGAGCTACCTGTTTTTTTTTAAGGAACACCATTTTTACTTAGAAGAATCCTAAAAAATGAACAAAGTGAGTCCCTCATTTCAAGGAAAACAAATGACAAAACTTGTTACCAATAATAAAATTTGAGCTTTTGGTAAAAATTAGAATTTTGGACAACTAGTATCTGCTACTGTAAGCCTGAGAGCTTTCCAATATGTAAAGGCTTTTCTGATGAGATTGGTGGTGATACTAATGAATGTGATTTTCCTGGATATTTTATAATGAAATGTGTGTTAACATTTTGAAGATCCAAATAACTTTGTGAACCAGTAATTTCCAACTGACTAAGCCTTGATAGTACAAAATCATGTATAGGTAAAAGATCCATTCAAAGAATAAGACAGACCCATAGATTTTAATGTAAGAATATAAAAAGTTAATTGATGTGGTTTTAGATCTGATATTCAAATTAACCTTTAAAAAAAAACTTTTACTCACCAATAAAAAGGAACAAACTTCTGATATATGCTACAAACATGGACAAACCTCACAAACACTATGCTAAGTGAAAAAAGCCAGACACAAAATACCACATATTGCATGATCTCACTTATATGAAATGTCCAGAAAAGGCAAATCTATAGACACAAGGTAGAATAGTGGCTGCCTAGGACTGGGGGTTGGAAAGGAGAATGACTGTAAATGTGTAAGAGGGATCTTTTGAAGATGATGAACATGTTCTAAAATTGGATTGTGGTGCACAACTCTGAATATGGTAAAGACTACAGAATTGTACACCTAAAAACAAATTTTGACATGTAATTATACCTCAATAAAGCTGTTGAAAAGAAAAAGGATATTGTCACTGGTCAAGCTTTGCTGTATTATCAAAGAATATCCACAATTTTCTGAAAAAGCTATTAAAATTCTCCTCCCTTTTCCAATTATGTATCTTTAAGAGGTCAGATTCTTCCTGTGCTTCAATCAAAACATTTTAAGAAATTGACTGAAAAAACAGATAGGAGAATCTAGCTATCTCCCATTAAGTCAAAGAGATTTGCAAAAATGCAAAAAAAAAATGCCATTCTCACACAAAAACTATTTATATTCACTTAGAATGGGTTTCTTATTTTGAAATAAATACTTTAAAATTGTTTTTATTTCTAATATGGTATATATTGACAGATATTCTACATAAAATCTAAAATCTATTGATAGATTCCACATAAATGGAAGATCTTTGGGGTCTTCAATAAATTTTTAGAGCGCAAAGGGGTCCTGAGACCATTAAGTCCGCGCACCATTACTACAAACATAAACAACGTTTCAAATAAATGCATGTCTTTTAAAATGCCTAAATGTGGTCAGATCATCTATATAAAGAAAATCACATCGTTTTTAACTGAGTTAATCCAATCCCTTAAAAAGTCCATTAATAGTTCTGCAAAAAAGATCTCTTTGTCTAATTGTTTTCAAGCAGATATCTGAGATTTTTTTTTAGAAGCTTACCATTTAGGCTGCGAATACACCTTATATCAAGGCTTCTCAGTCGAGAGTCGTCTCTTAGATCTAAATTATCTGATATGGTTTGAATTGCCAGTCTTGCAAAGACTAGATCAATCTTTGGAAAGATGCAAAAAAAGAGAAAAATATTACTTTTTCTCCTTCTAGTCCATTCTCCACCCCCCCACCCCAACCTCAAAAGTATAGTTCTAATTATTAGTTTGGGAAGTTCTACCAAAACTTAAAAAAGCTTATGTAGACAATCTCACATGGGAAAATCATTGCCAAGTTTTGTGAGGGTAATTAAATTTGCAAATTAAGGGAAAACATTTTAATTTTTTAGCATATATGCCAAGCATTAAAAAGAACATCAAAATCTTATGAATGAATTTCTAGATAAAGATGGCAGATCCAACACACATTTACATTCACTCCCTCTTGAAACCCCACTAAAATATCAGTAACAATTCATTCTGTTTTTTATTTAGTTTTAGTTTTGTTTTTAAAGGCATATTCCACTAGGACGAAGGGACTAAAAGGAGACAACAGCAAAAACTATGGAAGCAGATGGATAAGTGGTAACAGACTTAGCAGATTTAAGAAAGCAGAGATAAAAAATATTGTATACAGGAAAGAAGGACAGGAGGCTGTAAATAAATACATACATAAATAGAAAGGAACACTTAGAAAAATAACAAAGTTATTCTTAGAAATTAAAAATATGACAGCAGAAATGGAAAACAATAGGAAGCTTGGAAGATGAGAAAACCCCCACAAGCAGAAGAAAAATATAAATATGTGGTGGTCCAATATACAGAAAAAAGAGAGAAAACAAAGGCAGGAAATCCAATAGAATTCAATACAATTTCCACGAATGCAAGGACAGGAATTTCCAAAGTGGAAGAGGACTACTGAGTGCCTAGCATATTTGGTTGAAAAGACACATACCAAAGTACATTACCATGAATTTTACAACTATGAAGCCTAGGAATAAAAGATCATATTAAGTGTCTAAAGAGACAAAACAGATCACAAAGGACGAGAAATCAAAATGGCATCACATTTTCAACACAGCATGAAAGGTAGAAGACAATGAAGCAAAGCCCAAAACTCTGAGCTACATTTCCCACCTAGAACTCTATACTCAGCCAAACCATTATTTTGGTGTGAGAACCAAATAAAGATATTTTTAAACATGCAGGATCTCAAAAATATGTGCTCTTTCTCAGGAAGCTAGTGCATGAGTGACAGTAAGTCAAAAAAGAAGAGAAATCCCAGGATGATAGTAAAGAAAGATCCAGGATGCCAGCTGGTTATCCTTCATGGAGAGCAATCGGTGTGGAATCCAACATGTGAGAAGACTCACGTATTTTTTTAAGATGATAATGACAGAACACCCGAGAAATCTAAATCTATTTAGAAGAGATTCAGACAGCTAGCAAAGACTGACTTTGAATTAGTGTTAAGTATAAAAACCAAGCAAACAAAATGCAAAACAATTATTAACTCCCAAGAAACAAAATGCCACAAAGAATGATAATTTAGTATACTCTGTGCTCAGTTTTGAACTTTATCAGATCATAATAATGTAAACACTGAATATTGCTCCAATCAAAATGATAACATAATTATTTTAGATTATAGGAATAAGAAGGGTGTATATAAAAATCATGGGGTAGGGATGGAAGTTGGTTCATTTTCCACAGGGAGAAGTCAATAGATATAGGAGAAAGAAAGGTGAGGAACTATTTAAAAACTATTTGATTCTTTAAAATATGTGTCTTTGTAGGTCTGATTTAAAAAAAAAAACAAAACTGAAAAAAGCCCTATGTATTAATTCAGTTGCAAAGTCAGAAAAAATATTAAACACTTACTTCAATTCCATCAAATTCAAATTTTATAACAGGTACAAAGGCATCTTCTACAGCCTACAAAAGAGGACAAGAATTAGAACATATAAATAATCCTTTATTTATTTATTTTTAAAAAAGATTTTATTTATTTATTTGTCAGAGAGAGAGCACAAGCAGGGGGAGCGGCAAGCAGAGCAGGCATAGGGAGAAGCAGACCTCCTGCTGAGCAAGGAGCCCGATGCGGTACTCCATCCCAGGACCCGGGGATCATGACCGAGCTGAATGCAGACGGTTAACTGACTGAGCCACCCAGGCGTCCCTAAATAATACCTTAAAGGTATAATCCTTTCTCTATCCTTCCTAACTGCAAATAATGTGAATACCTTTGCTAAAAAGTGAAAATGTTCTTGATCTCACATTCCAAATAAGTGCTTCTACTCTGTGATTGTGTTAAGATACAGAAAATGTCATGACAGTGGTTATCTAATTTATTATCCTCCTAAAAATATCAGAAACTGGCAGGCAGAACTGCTATTACCTGGGTACTTACTATTTGTTGAGATTAAATTGAAAACTGATTATTTACAAAGAGCTCTAGTATTGGAAATTAAAATATAATCAGAACTTGTGATTAATCCATTAAAAAAATACAATCAATGTAATTTGGACTTAGTAGAAATGTCATCTTTCTGAGCTTTCCTTACTCCCCCAACCTAACAAATTCTTAACCTCCTTCTCCATTCCCAGATGCCCAAATAATGCAGATCCTTTCAACTTCACCTTACCCTAGCACTTCAGATTGCATTAAAGCTATGTTTGTTTAGTTCTCCTAATCCCTCCCTCCCATAAACTATGTCTTGTTCACTATTGTATTTGTGGAACTAAGAACAGTATCTGACAGATCACTGGTGCTGAAATTTCATTTGCTGAATGAATGGCTAGATATGCCCAAAGAGAATGACTAACTGAATCTTAGACATATTAACAGCTATCATTTGATATGCATCAACCACTTATCAAATATTATAGTCAATGTTTATGTCAATTATCTCATTGATCCTCAAAAAAACCTTATAAAAAGTTATCACTACATCTCCATCTTACAGCTTTGAGGAAACTAGGCTCAAAGAAAATAGGTAACTTAAAATCTAAGAGCTAATATGTGGTAGATTCTAGATTCAAACCCAGATCTGTATTAACTATAAAGCCCATGTTCTTAACCATCTGTTATTTTAATAAGATATAGCAACTTCTTAAGAAATATTTCAACAATCATAAGCCCAACCTTTTGTTAACGGGTTCAAAATATTACATACCAGAGGATACTTACTCTTAAGTTTCTAATGCCATCTTGATGTTTCAATTTTTCAAAAAAAGACTGAAAAAAATCAGACCTCTCCACATGTCTTGGAGCTACACAAAGTGCATCAATGTCAGCTCCTGCAAATCAAAGTATTTCTAAGTAAGACTATATTAAGTATGTATTACATTTTTGTTAAAACATATAAAAACATTATGTACAGAAGAAAATGTGTACGATGAATAAAGGAAAATGTTAACAATGATTAGCTCTGAGTAGTGAGATAATGGGTATTTTTTTCTTCTGTACTTCTAATTATGAATAACAATTAAGAGCTTGTTATTGAAAGTTCTTATCAGAACACAGAAAAGCAGTTACCTTTCGTGTGTACTCCAAGCCTATAGGAGCCAAACGTGAAAATTTTACCACCAACAGTAGCCACAACAGAAGGTGGGAGATTCTAAAATTAAATTAAATTAAATTAAACAAATGACATTCAATTGTTGAAATTATTTAGCATAAAAATTGCCTAAATACTACTGATATATACTGTATTTGTCAACTTTGGGAAACTGAGATTTCTGAAATACTTCAGAGCTCTTTGGGCTGCACCTTGAAGTAATGAGAGTATTCCCAGAGTGAAGACAAAACAAATTCAAGCCTACTGTACATGGACACATCTCTCTTAAGAAAAACATTTTTTATCTCTTGACCCTACTCATCCCCTTCCAATTGCGTGTCTTTGGCTCCATCATTCTGAAGTCACCAAGGAACTCTTAACTACCAAACTAATGCACTTTCAGTTCTCTATAGTATCATACACTTAACTCATTCCACTTCCCCATTATTTTTTGTGACAAATATGCTTAATTTCTTGATTGAATTTCTGCAACCTTTCTCCAAGAAAGTGGTCATCCTGACATGACCTCCTTATGAGAGGTAATCTAACATCTTTAATGAAATTTTTTAGACTGTACCAGAATTATAAGGCTACCCTTTACCTCTCTCTGGAGCCAATTCCAACTTGCCATCAGGTATTTTCACTCAGACATTTTGATCCACTCCAATATTCATGCTTAAAACAAAATATTCTTCCTATGATAAACCAGGTATCCCTTCTGATTTCTTTCTGTTCCTCATTTTCCTTAATACCTATACCTGTAGTTGTATTCTTCTTGGCTTACCAATTCTTAGCTTATATCCCTCACATGTTACCTCCTTTCTATTCAACTACTATGCCCTTAAGTCTACGCTTTAATAGAATCTTAAGCTACCTTCTTGACCTTATTTTCTCCTATTCCATTTTGTACAAAATTCACTTGATGTTCTTACTCTATTATATAACTCTTCTGCTCAAAACTTGCTAATGCATTATTCTTCTCTGACTACTAAGGTAAGGATCCATGGATCCTGAGAATCTCCACAATATGCTCTCATGGATCTTTCCTGCCTTGTCTCGTCTCCTCATCTTCCCTTTTGAAGCTCCAACTGCCAACATGTTACATAATCCAGTCTCCTTTCCACCGCACTTGCCATTCTCCCTATCTCAAATGCTTGCCCATCCTCTCTGGGTATCTGAATACCACCGGTTTTTTCAAAGTTCAAGTTCCACCTTTTTCATGAAGCCTTCTCTGATGATCCCCCATTGCATAACAAGCTCTTTCCCCTCTGTGCTCCTCCACTATTATCTTTAACCTCTTTTATACTACATTTATTACTGACTTTTTCCCCTGAATACATGTCTTATCTCTTCAACTATATTTAAATTCCTTGAAAATGAGAACTGTGTCTACTATTTCTATTTTTTTAATAATGCCCAGTGCAAGTTTCAAAGAATAATATCCCTTGATTAACTTGAATGAAATTATCTATACAACAGGATATTACGTTTGTTACTTCCTCTGTTTAATGGATATTAATGTTTAAGATTACCACACATGATTTTAGAGCTAGAAAGAAGTCTGTAAATTTATTAATATGAATCAAAAGGATAGAGAAGATAGGATCTTTTGGTTTACCTTCCTACTTTCTATTTTAGTTTACTTTCCTACTTTGAAAAGCTAGATTCTTGCATGATTTATGAGAAAGTGATACACCAGAGTAAAATATTTTCATCACAAACCACACTACTTAACTAAAATGATCTGTTTGAGTTCTAGATGGTTTATAGCTTAAATATCGCAATTGTATGTGGAATAGTCAAATGATCTTTGATCTAACTCAAATTCTTCTGATATTTTCCGAACTAAAATATGCATAAATAAAAGGAATAGTTGATACAGAAAATGAAAAAAAAAATCGCTTTATCCACACAGTGGAAGATGTCAAAACCAATTAAAAAATTTTTATAATGAGCTATTTTATTCACTTTGCTTAAAAAAAGAAATCCAAATTATGGCAAAGTCTTTAATTTTTATGCCTAGAAATTAAATGTAAACCAGTGATTGCTTTTTGCAGATTAAAGTATTAATGTGAGTAAAATAGGAGAAAAAACAATTTAATAAAAGCAAAAAACAAAAAAAACTTTGACCTTGAAACAGAATACTATTAGATTTTTCTGTTAACTGTGAAGAAACTTTGAAGAAAATTAGGTACATCTCTCAACAAATATAGCCTCTTTTGTGAATAATAATACTTGATTTATCTCAAATGCATTCTATAATAGGGATGGAAGCAAAGAACTTGGCACAACCACAATATTTGACATAAACACCACACAGTAAGTCAAAGCTTGTAACTATGATTTTAAAATAATTCTAGCAAGCTGAGTATTTGGTTTGCACACCCATTATAATTATGGGCTGATCAGAGAGGGACAACAGATTCCTTTAACATTTATTTAATGCCTGAGCTCTGTCCTGAGATTATGTAGGTGACCAAGATAGGTCTTTTTCTTATGGAGCTGATCACCTAGTAGCAGAAAAACAAACATGAATTTTTTTTTGTTACTCATGACTAGCATTTCACCTGCTCAGAATTCAACTTATCTGAAAATCTCAACTACTGATAACCCTGAGAGTTCAGAAATGAGTCAGATAGCTGTTTGGCAGCAAAAGTAAACAACATAAAGACCATTTATTTAAACCCAATGACTGCAGACTTAGCAGAGTCCCATGACCTTATTCTGAGTCCATTGTTGGAAAAAAAAAACACAAAACAATTTTAAACATGTACCATAGGTACAGAAAGAAATACTAAAATTTACAATAGAAAGAATTCTAACAGATGCTTATCTAATTTCTAAATCCAGGCAGATTAAGATCAGAAAGAGTTTACAGAGAGACACACTGACTGCTGTAATATATTAACTTCCAGCTAATTGTTAAGGGAAAGACAGGAGAACTATAAAAATTATAAAAACCAAACAAAAACTTAAAATACAACAGTTTGGGCCACTCAGGGAAGGGGCAAACAGTGTCACCCACTTGCACACACCCTACTTCAATTTAGTACAGCCAGTAAAATAATATTCAGTGATGATTCTCAGACATATGAAAATTCAATTACATTCAAAATACTCTAAGCAAGAAAAATGTAACTTTTTTTAGAAGAAAAATAGTTAAGGTACTGGAGGGGAAAAAAGTTGCATAATTATAAATTAGGATTTGCAAACTGCTATGTCTCAGGGGTCAGGCAAGTATGCAAATGTAAGGTATACATAAGAAACACAGAAACTGACTGATAAATGACAGGTGCTGTGTCAGAGAGAGAGCAGGCATTGGTCGGGCCACAAGGCAATGGAGGGCAGGAGCCCAAATCCATTCAAGCCTCTTCCTGCCTTGCGCAAAGGTAGGCCCAATGTTGCCAGATCTGGTATTTCACGAGATGTCTGAAATCTGGCTTTTAAAGTAAAATCCCTTGATATTTAAATTTTGGTAAACTACATGTAATTCAAGCAGGAAATCTATGTAGAATTGTAGCTAGATACTGGGGTAAATTCTCATTTATCTCATTATCATTATTTAGAGACTCAACTGTCTAGACCAATTCATTACCAAGTATACCAAAAGCCTATTACAGATTATTCTCAACTCCTGCATCCTATTACCAGGACTAATGAAGAGGACATAATGAAACTGAATTCAATGTAGTTTAGAGCCTTACCTTACTCTCACTGACATCAGAAATCCATTCTTTTACTAAATTGTTCAATTTACCAAGAACAACGAGTCTATAATAAAAAAAAAAATCCTTTAGATTAAAACTAAGAAAACCCAAAAACAGTATTTAAAAAAGTAGTTAAACATATAGGCAGAACCTTTAATGTTGGTGTTAAGAGTAAAAGCACATTATACATGGGCTAATGCTGTCACATCTATTGATACATGGCACATCTCTTTGACATTCTTAGGTCCCTAAGAGTTCCAAAGAAATGATAAATGTGATGATAGTATTTTGGTCTTTGAGCTATTCTCAAAGTTCAAAAAGCCTAATAAAAAAATCAAAATTACCTTCAGTAAGTCTGCAGAGGCCAACTGAATTATCAACTTTCTTGGCCTTACTATGGAATAAAATCAATTCAATGTGGTGGTAGAGGTTAGCATTCTCTCACCTACAGTCATAGATCTTTGGATAATTAAAATGGGTAAATTAAATATTGGCTAATTTTTATGAAATAGTATCACTTAATAACAGCAGTTTGATATTAAACCAAACTTTCAACCAATAGCATATGTAAATCCACATTAAAAAAAAAGAGAGAGAAGAAAAGTAGAGTTTAGACATCTCAAGGATAACATATAAAAAATGAAATTCCTGAGATATCCAAACTTGCTTCTCCCTCAGCCTTCTCTGGGTAATGGAATTCCATCCTTTGAGGTGCTAAGACCCAAAACCTTGGCATCATCCTTAACCTCTCTCTCTCTCACACATATTCCAGTCATTAAACAACACTACCTTTAAAATATATCCACAACTCTACTTCTTATCACCTCCACTAACATCCCCCTTAGTTCAACACCCCCATCCTTTCCTCCCTGGATCCTTATAATAGCCTCCTAACCAGTCTCCTGACTTGTGCCCTTGATCCCTCTTCAGGCTATTCTCAATATAGCAGCCAGAGTGATTGTGTTAAAACATGAGTAAATCATGTCAATCTTCTGCTCAAAAACCTAATGGCTTCCAATTTGACTCAGAGTAAAAGCCAGAACTTTTATAGTGACTTAAAGGTCCTAAGTGACCTAGCTCTCCAAGCAACTTCCCACCTCATGTTCTTTAAGCTCATATTCACCTGCTTAATCACTCTGCTCTGGACACCCAGGTTACTTACTGTGTAATTCCTTAAATATACCAGGTACACTCCCACCTCAAACCTTCTGCCTAGAATGCTCTTCCCGCAAATATCTACATAGTTCCCTCTCTCACTTTGAAAATTTCGCTCAGTCGTTGAGCATCTGCCTTTGGCTCAAGTCACGATCCCAGGGTACTGGGATCAAGCCCTGCATCGGGCTCCCTGCTCAGCGGGAAGCCTGCTTCTCCCTCTCCCACTCTCCCTGCTTGTGTTCCCTCTCTTGCTGTTCTCTGTCAAATAAATAAATAAAATCTTAAAAAAAAAAAAAAAAAGAAAATTCCACTCAAATGTCAATAACGCCTTCCAGATAACCTCCACTTCCAGCTTCATTTTTCTCAGCAGCGTTTGCCATCTGTAACATTGTATTTATTTTATTTATCTGGCTAATTGTTAGTCTCTTCCCCTAATCTCCACCTAAAATATAAGCTCCATGAGGGCCAAAATTTCTCTTCATTTTGTCATTTTTTGTATCCCTAGGCAGGGGCATGGGAGGTACTTTATATTTGCAGAATTAATGATTAAATAACATACTGTAAAATATTTTGCATTTTTAAATGACATACCTGTGGTTCAGTTCTTCCTCATCTTCAAATACTCCAAAGGGTTTCATGGCATCAATTAATTTCTGTGTGTAAATATGATCAATTTCTTTAGGACATGCCAAACTAATTGGAGAAGTGATTCCATAATGCTTTTGTTGACGCTGGCTGTCCAGCATGGTGTTTCTGTTCAAGAAAAATGAAACAGCAGAAAAAATTTAAAGTATCATATCATACTGATATATTTAATCTCTCAATCCACTCATTAATTTAGCTACCTTAAAAGTTTACTTAGTACTTTGGTTGGGGCAGGCACTTTTTGGAGGGGGGGAAGGGTATTTTGTGTTTATTTTGATGAAGGGCTATTCATACTGCCTCCAGCTTTCATGGTTAGGATGTCTTTTCAAGCCAAAAGCAGCATGTGTTGGCATCAGGACAACTGTGCCAGCACCACTTAGCTCAAATGCAAAAAGCCTGAATGGGAGCTGGGCCAGAGCCACCTCCACTACACCCTGCGGACTTAAGTCAAGTACCATCTATATTCAATCTTTGAAAAGCAGTCAGCCACTTGAAAGAAAGCTCTGAGTAAGAACAATGTTTTCCCCCCTCAGGAAAGAAACAAAAACATCCCATTAGAAGGTCCTTGTGAAATATCCTGGCTTTTAAAAAGAAATCACAACTAGATTTGTCCTTGAGAAACTTCCATTAACATCCTTTGCTGAAATCAGAATTTATAGTCCTAACATTTTGTGACTCTAGTTAATTGTTCTCTACATTTAGATTGGCACCCAGACCATTTTCACACTAAATAACTATCAAATTCTTTACACTTTTATCGGCACAATACAAGCCAACCTCCAAAAGATTCTAGCTATCGGGAAATTATACTCTTGAATAAAGTACAATCGAATTTCTGAGTTTGGATTTCAGTAATTTCAAAATAAATTTTGGGACCAACATGGGTCGGTAAAACTTTTTATTTTCCTAAGAAAGTAAAAATAAATGTACACAATAACCAACTAACCCTACCATCTATCTTCACCATTCGATGTTCAGGACCCTTAACAACAAAAGTAAGAATGTAATCTCAAAATATAAAAGAACAGTCGGGGCGCCTGGGTGGCTCAGTTGGTTGAGCGACTGCCTTCGGCTCAGGTCATGATCCTGGAGTCCCGGGATCGAGTCCCGCATCGGGCTTCCTGCTCAGTGGGGAGTCTGCTTCTCCCTCTGACCCTCTTCCCTCTCGTGCTTTCCATCTCTCATTCTCTCTCTCTCTCTCAAATAAATAAAATCTTTAAAAAAAAAATAACAGTCTTCTAAATGAATAAATTAGCTCTGTAAACAACAACACGAAAATACAGTAGTGATTGTTTTTGAATTTTAACTGGTCAAAACACTGACTTATTGCCACTAAGTTCTCAGAGGAAGGCATGCTCTTTAGCTAAAGATTTCATTAGGTAAGGAGGGAGAATCAAACCGAAGATAAAATAGCCTATATATCTTCATAAATGATTCAAAGAAACAAAAGGGAAACACCAATACCAGCAACTTTAATTTCTTTCTGTTATTAATTTTCCTGTGGAACAAAATTTCAATTAGCTACTTCAAGTAACTTCTTTTTAAAGATTTAGCTTTTTACCTCTAAGAGAGCTATTTTGGTATTGTCTGTGTGTGTTTAAATATGTATGGTAAATGGATGGGACAGACTGATTATATGTGATTATTCAATTAATTTTGACAACAACCCTAAGAGGTAGGTACCGAATAAATGCCATTTTATAGGTAAGTACCCAAGATCCAAGGGATAGGAAGAGCCAGAATCTGAACTCCAAATCCCAAGATCTTTCCACCACTCCATTCTCCCTTGAACAAATACCTTTGTTCTGACACTATGATCTTGGGTCCCCCTTTCTTATCTGTATGCTGAAAAAGTTGGCTATCAAAGCTTCCTACCCTACTAGAACTAAAATTCCAAATCTATGGTTCTGAACCTCCCTCATGGGTGGGGGGGAAGCCAAGCAAAAGAATCCCACATTCCCTTCAACTCATCAATTTCACTTATAAGTAAACACCCTAGATAAATTCTAGTACAAGTGTACAAGGAAACATGTACAAGGATGTTCACTGCCACACTGTAACATTAAAAACTTAGAAACAACCTCAAATAATCACTAACAGGAAAAGGACTAAAATAGGGTGTATCCCTACAATGGAATACAATACAGTAATTATTATGAATTAATAAGAGTTGAAAATATTAACATGGACAAAGTTCAAAGATACTATGTTGCCTAAAGAAGTTGCCAAATGACGTCCGATACTAGTTATAAAAAGCTTAAAAAGAAGTAAAACAATGCCCGTTATTATGGACACTTACATATGTTGTAATAGCATTTTTAAGAACGCAGCAATAAACATCAAGTTCAGGACTGTGAGGAACTCTGGGGAGGGTGGTGAATGGAATAACAGGAGGTAAGAGAATCTTTAAGACATATCTGTAATGCTTGATTTCTTTTAAATAGAGATATGTATGTGTACACACACCCCCACACACATATAGGATGTTATGCTTTGGGAGAGATGGATGTTGACTACACAATTGATGCTTATGTTATTCTCTGCATTTTTGTCTAAATTATTTCCTAATAAACCAAAATGTTAGGGGCTACAACAAAATCTTGCCAAACACGAAAACCGTTTCTGACTTATCAATGTGTGAGCAGGAGGTATAGACCGGTAGATATACTGTGGGCCGGTGGGGGAGGCCGGGGGAGGGCGAAAAGATCATAGCTTTTATTAAAAAGAAACGCATGGGCTGGGATAGGTCATTCACTCCTGAAGACCAGGAGACAGCCGGTCGGGAGGGAGGAGGGGGAGGTAGGGGGATGGTATTTGCGCCAATGCAGACAGGAGCAGAGACGAGCTCAGACAGTGCTGGGGGCAGAGAGTGACCGACAATTTCTCCCCACGGACACCCGCGCCTCTCCCGCCACTCCCTTGTCTGGGGGCGTCCTCCGAGGCGGGACAGGCGAGGGCAGATGGGGGCTCCAGGAGTCCCCGAGTCTGTGCAGGGGTGGCCAGGTGAGCCTCCGGGTGCAGGGAGGTGCCCTTGCCGACCGGCCAGGAACGGGGAAGGAGACTACTCCGGCGAGCTCCAGGCAGGGCGCGAGGGGCAGGGAACGGACACCGGTCCCGGGCCGACCACCCTAAACCCACTCTTCTCCGCTTCGCCCCCAACCGCCGCCCCCCACCACTTACGCAGACATCTCTTTCATCGCTTCCTGCGTCTCCCTCACCGGCGAGTATCGTTCTCTCTGGAGTCAAGTTCTTGCTCTTCCTTTCTCCTCCTATCGACTTTCCTCCGGTCGCTTGTAGCTCGCTTGCTCGCTCACTTTCTCACTTACTACGGCCGAGGCATCCAACCGAGTAGTGAAAACACCACAAAACCGGCTCTATTTATGACAATACAGCGCGGCCGACGCCAATATGGCGCCGCTTCCCAGCCTGCCCCTCGCCCGCTGCGGCCCCGCCCCTGGAGGCCTGGACCCGCCCTCGGCCCCGCCCCCTCCTCCTTTTGGTCCCGGGAGGTTCCGGTGGCCCCGCCCACGGGCGGGGGCACAGGCTCTGGCTGTAAACGCCGGTCGGAAGGAGCGTTTTGTACCCTCCTTTGTCCGTGGGACTGTCAATCCAAGCAAACCGCTTGGAATGTAATTAGGAACATATTTTCCTTGTTTCACTAATGAAAGACTATATTTTTTAAAAAAGATCACAACCTTGCCTAGCAAATACTGGTTTAACTCTTCCGTTATCCTACATCTTTAATTAGTCATAATCATACGTAATCAATCCACTCGAGATTTTGTCGTGATAGGGTCACACCGAGGAACGTGTGACTACAATTATCCCAGGGAAAAGCAAACTTGTAAATTGGAGGCTAATCTGTTCACTTCATCTCTACCTCCCCCTGATTTATGACATTGTGGCAGTTGAGGGGGGGTTGAAAGGAGAATCGCTAGCAGTTTGCAATAGGAGGATAAATACAAGAAATAATTTAATAAACTAAATCATTACAAGGAAAAGGATGTCAAGAAGCTGCTTTTTCTCGGAATGTGACTCAGAGTCATAGGAAATAGAGGTGATTACTTATAAAATTATTCATTCATTCATTCAAAAATATTTATTGAAAACCAAGCATTGTTAGGCACTAGCAGCTTAACGGTGCATAAAACCAGATGTATTCTTTAACCTTATGAAGATCAGAGTTTAGTGAGGAAACAATCAAATATAAGTGATATTCTTCTATTGTAGAACTAAAAGCACCTACTATGTGTCAGGCAGTAGAGATACTTAATTCCTGTCCTTCAGAGTTCACAGTCTAGTGGAGAAGGACAAACATATATACAGAGATCATTGAAATACAGGGGGGCCAAGGGATTTAGGGAGGCTTAAAGAGGGCCACCTATTGGAAGTTGGATCTAAACGCTTGATTAGATTCAGGCTAAACACTGCATCACACCAGGAGTCACATTATGAACCTCTGGTAGTCCCATCATTGGTCATAGTAAGATTGACTACTGGATTTAGGTACTGACAGTCATCTTGGAACTAAATAGTAATCTGTGGGGTGATAACTTTGGCACTAGGTGAATATCCAGCTGTCCATCAACCTTTCACCTAATGGTTTCAGCATCTGTTGATGGTATTGGTTTAATTATTTCCTTAGAGGAAAATTGTGATTTTCCAATTCTGTCTACATTTATAGCTGGCATTTTTCTGGAAAGAAGAGCTTTTCTTCATTGACTAGGACTATTAGGTTATTCTGCAATATCAATATGATTCCTACTGCAAAGGAAAAATATTCCTTTCCCTTCTAGAGTTAAGAACTTGGTATAATGGCCACCTTCAAAGAAGTTCTTATTTATTTGTTTGATTATTTTATTCCTTTTATTTATTTATTTACTTATTTTGAGTTTCATATGGACTCATTTTTTAATATAGTTAGCATGTTTCAATCAATTACAGTCATGGTTCTTTTGATGCTAAAATTGTCCCAACTTTGGTCAGTGGGTTCCTCTGTCAAGCTGGTTCCTTGGCTAGTATTTAAAAAAATTTTTTTAAGTCAATATGATAGGTGGGAAAGTGGTGTTTCTTTGTGGTTTTACATATCCCTAATCAGTGGTATTTCACTAGCAATTTATATTTCTTACTCAGTGGATTCAAATGTTTTGTCCATTTTCCTTGTAGTATAACTGTCTTTATACCAGTGATCCAGACTCACCCCTACAAATGAGATTTTCTCAGGGCTTTCTGCTGGTCTCTTTCAGCTGCAACCTCCCTCTGCTTGAGTTTTTCCTTCTGATCATCCCTTGCTCTGGAATGAGTCTTGAAATAGCTTATTCAGAAAGGAGGTACATTTTCCTAGTTCTGGCATATTTGAAAACATGTCCTTCAAAGCTTGGTAGATGGTGCTTTATTGTTACCTGGTGAGTCTTAAACACTTGTAAAATTCTTATTTTTGAAGTCTAAAAATTCTGTCCAAATAGGCCTTTGTATGGCCGTCTTTTTCCTAAAATGTGTCTGGAACATAATGAACATTAACAATGTTTTCTGACTACTTTTTAAAAGATCAGATTAAGTTCCCCCTTTTTTTTACTTAAAAATTGCTTCTGTTCCACCCATCAATTAGCTCTTTTTTTGTTTGTTTGTTCAGGTAAACAGAATTGCAACTTCGGAGAATGTTAAAATGTTCATGCAAGTAATTCAGGGAAAAAATTTTTTTAAATTGTTATTTTAGCTTTTTAAATATCTACTGGGCTGCCTATAGCACAAGTAGGGTATATCTGTCTTGCTCACCAGCTCATCCTCAGAACTTAACATGTGTTTAATAAAGATTTGTTGAAGGAATTGATTTCCAATATTATTTTCCCTTATGTCTTTCCTCATCTCATCATCTCTTCATCTTTTTGCACTAATTGGTAGACAATTTCCACTTTGCCTTCTGCCTCTAACTTAATATTCTGATGTGTCTGAATGTTATGTAAGTATTCTGTTGGAACCTTTCCATCTCTGAACCACCTTTATTAACTCAAAGCATTTCCTTTACCTGGCAGATTGTTGTAGCAGAGTATTGCTCACACTGGTCATTAGCAGGTTATGACTAACACCTTTTAAAATATGACTAGAAGAGTATGGTATTTCAGGTAGGATCATCCAAAAATGACCTTGGAAACTGAGGCTGGGGATGCCCACATATTGTGCCAGAAAGAACTAGGGTCTACCCTTCTACCAGCAGGAGCAGTTGTGCTCACACTTAGCTTCCCAGGAGGGCTTTCTACCCATTGCAAAAGGGGCTACAACTTCTTCTTCTTTTTTTTTAAGATTTTATTTATTTATTTGACAAAGAGAGAGAGAGTGAGAGAGCATAAGCAGAAGGAGTGGGAGAGGGAGAAGCAGGCTTCCCACTGAGCAGGGAGCCCGATGCGGGGCTCGATCCCAGGACTCCAGGATCATGACCTGAGCCGAAGGCAGCCTCTTAACGACTGAGCCACCCAGGTGCCCCGGGGCTACAACTTCTTAGGGGTCCCTGAGATCCCCAGCTGTTGGGCAGCTGGCACCTAAGGTCAGTCACCCTGGCTCTGAATAATCTCTTTGTCCACATTCTGACGAGGCTGCTTTCTCACAAGTTTACTCTAAGAAGATACCATCTTGGGGACATGATCTTCCATTGGAACACACATAGCACCTAGCCATAGCATCCTTCTCTCTGGGATGTCTGGAAGATCCTAGACTAGGCCATCTTCTCTTTCTGACTCTTGGCTTCTAATTTCCCCCAATTAAGGCCTGTTCCTTAACTCAAGCTGAATGACCATGTGGAATTCACCCTAAGCCCTGTTGCGTGATAGGTAGTGACCACGCAGAGACTCCCTACCCACGCTGAACAACAAAAATAAAATATGTGGATGAATTTGCTCTCAATGGATTCATGTCCAGTGCTGCTCAGTTGATTTTGAACAGATAGGAGTTGGAAGTTGTCAGAAATTGATATGGGTCCTGTTACAGAGTATGTGTTTGACTCCATTCCCCACCCTGCCCTCCAGTTCTGGAGATGGAGCCCTCAGTAGGCAATTAGATCATGACAGTAGAGCCATCGCCCTTAAAAGAGGAGACAGGAGAGTATTTGCTTCTGTCTTTTTTTTTTTTAAGATTTTATTTATTTATTTGACAGAGAGATAGTGAGAGCAGGAACACAAGCAGGGGGAGTGGGAGAGAGAGAAGCAGGCTTCCTGCTGAGCAGGGAGCCCGATGTGGGACTCGATCCCAGGACCCTGGGATCATGACCTGAGCCGAAGGCTGAGGCTTAACGACTGAGCCACCCAGGCGTCCCTGTTTGTACAACTTTTTTAAAAAAGATTTTATTCATTCATTTGCCAGAAAGAGAGAGAGGCAGACACTTAACTGACTGAGCCACCCAGGCGTCCCCTGTTTGTACAATTTTTAAAAAAGATTTTATTCATTCAACAGAAAGAGAGAGAGAGCACAAGCAGGGGGAGCGGCAGGTAGAGGGAGAGGGAGAAGCAGGCTCCCTAAACAGACCAGGGAGCCCGACTCGGGGCTCCATCCCAGGACCCTGAGATCTTGACCTGAGCCAGAGGCAGACGCTTAACTGACTGAGCCACCCAGGCATGCCACTTGTTTGTACAATTTATTGTTTTTTGTTTTTGTTTTTTTAATATGAATTCAGTGCAGAGGCTCCTGGGTGGCTCAGTTGTTAAGCGTCTGTCTTCGGCTCAGGTCGTAGTCTCAGGGTCCTGGGATCGAGCCCCACATCGGGCTCCCTGCTTGGCGGGAGGCCTGCTTCTCCCTCTCCTACTCCCCCCGCTTGTGTTCCCTCTCTTGCTGTGTCTCTCTCTGTCAAATAAATAAATAAAATCTTTAAAAAAAATAGTATGAATTCAGGGCAGAGAAGGGACAAAACAGGTGCCTATTCATTTTTCTGTATCTAGAATAATATGTAAAGTCCTAGATATGCTTTAAGCAATTCAAGAGTCCATTGATAGATGAGTTTACCCTGAAGAGGAATTCCAATTCCAAGTATCTGGATTTTCATGGTTTATGTTTGTGGGGTGAGGCCCCATGTGTCTCCAAGTATTTTCTTGCATGAAAAAACCTGCTAGCTTCATTGGAAGAGACTTTGCTCTGTGGACTTAGATGCGTCAAACCAAGCAAGGTAGCAATCAACAGCTTTCCTGGGAGCTGGCTTAACTGCCTGAAGTTAGGGACCTCAGCAACCCCTCCCAATTGTTTCTCCCCTACACATTCAGAAGGGCAGGAAAAGTCTTTACACCAATTTAAATCTTCTTCCCAGAGCTCGGGGGATTAACATATAAACTCAGTGGACAGAGCAGGTAGGTTTCCTGCTTCTCTCCAAATTGAAGGCAAGATTAATTACGGTGCTCACCTGTTTCTGAACCAGGACTGGTAATGGATCCTGGCTGTGCA